GCGCGCGCGCGTGCGTGTGTGTGTGTGTGTGTGTGTGTGTGTGTGTGTGTGTGCGCGCGCGCGCGCGTGCGTGTGTGTCAATGTGCCACAGCAAAAGTTTGGAGATCAGAGGACAACTTGAGGGATCTGCTCTCTCCTTCCACCACATGGGTTCTGGGGATGGAACTCAGGTCGCAGGCTTGTTGCCAGGGGCCTTTACATCTTGCCATCCCTTACCTTAGGGCTTTTAATAATACAGGGAAATAGGAGAATATGCCTCAAAACAGAACGTTAGTGAAGCTGGGTTGCTGAGTGCCAGGCGGCGAGGGCCAAGCTTTGAGCGTTCAGCACCTCAGACAGCGACCCGGCCTCCGCCCCTCAGTCCGCCGCCGCAATCACAGAGCACAGAGGTCCTATCCAGACTCTCTTGACACACATCTGATTGTCCGCCGGCTTGCTACTCCGGGGCCCAGCCTTTGCTTGCAGCCCTTGCCTATCACCCTAATTGCTCTCCATAATGCCCTTTTGTATGGAAAGCCGGCAGGTCCCGTCCCCCGTCTCTGCACCCAGGCAGGTTCTGTGCATATCCTGTGCTAGGCAGCAAAAAGAGCCAACCTGCCCTGCCCCAAGCCTTGCCTTGAGAACGGCTCTCAGGTATATCCCAGGCTAGCTTCAAATGCACTATGTAGCCGAGGCTGGCCTTGAACTTTTGATCCTCTTGTTTCCACCTTCCAGTTGCAGGGATGTCAAGTGTGTGCAAGCCCAATGTTTGTTTCCCTTTTCTCCAGTGCTGGGGAACTGACCCCAGGGGTCCACACCAGCTAGGCAGGCGCTCTACTCCTAAGCGGCTTTCCCAGCCCCTTGGGTTCTTGTTAGCTGCTTCGCCCCAGCTGTGGCTCCTGGAAGTAGGATTCCTATTCTAAGGAGGCTACAGACCTAGGCAGGTGGAGGGCGCCACCTGGAGGGTCGTCTCTGCTTGGGGGTTTCCTAAGGGCGCCATGTCTGCTGGAGGTCCCCTCTGCGTGGGGATGGGTCCTCTTTGCCTGGGGGTCCACTCTGGGGTTCCTTTCTACCGGGGAGGGGGGAGGTCTTCTCTGCATGGGGGTTTCCTCTCTAGAGGAGGGGTCCCCTCTGCCTGGGATGTCCTCTCTTGGGGAGTGGTACCTCCCGGCCTGGAGATTTCTCTGCTGGGGGTCTGGTCCTCTCTGCATGGGGGTTTCCTCTCTAGAGGAGGGGGTCCCCTCTGCCTGGGATGTTCTCTCTTTGGGGGATCCCTCTCTGCCTGGAGATTTCTCTGCTGGGGTTTTGGTCCTCTCTACCTGGAGAGGCCCACTTTGGGGTTGCTATCTCCCTGGGGGAGTCCTCTCTGGCACCTGAATGGAGGCTCTCCAAGCGCTGCCTTTGTCAGCCGCGCTCTGACGCGGACTTTGCCATCTCTGGCATCAGAAGCTTCTGGAGGTGAGGCTTCCCGGGCCCCGCGGCTCACCCTGGGTCCGCGCAGATGGCCCCGTTTCTGCTCCAGGGCGTGGGGGCCCTGCCCCTTGCCCCGATGACTGACAGGCGGCGGCTGCACCGACCCGGACGCACCTCTGCGGCAAGCGCGGGGCCTTGGCGCCCGACGTCACGGGGCGCGGCGTGCGTGGGTGCGGTCATGACGTCATGCCCGCGGAGCCCCGCGCCGGCGCCGTGACGTCACGCCCTGGAGCTGCGGGCCGGGCCGGGCGGCGGCATGGCGGAGAGCGAAGCGGAGACCCCGGGCACCCCGGGCGAGTTCGAGAGCAAGTACTTCGAGTTCCATGGCGTGCGGCTGCCGCCCTTCTGCCGCGGGAAGATGGAGGACATCGCCGACTTCCCGGTGCGGCCCAGCGACGTGTGGATCGTCACCTACCCTAAGTCTGGTAAGTCGGGAACCCTGTGCGGTGCCCGGCGCCGGCGCGGCTGTGTGACCTTGGGCAGGTCGCTCAACCTCTCTGTGCCCCGGTCCTGTCCGGTTCCCCGTGTGGTGCCGGCAGCGGGGGCGGCGGGCGCTCCTCCAGCATGGACTCTGTGGGGGATGGGACTGGCCTCTGTACCCTACCCCTGTATCCTTGTTTACGAGCTGCCTCTGTCACCAGGCGGGACCAGGGCACGCGGGTCCCCAGCAACCATGCAAGGTAGAGCTTTTAGGCAGAGGCTCAGAGAGGGGAGGAGGCTTGTCCAAGGTCACACAGCTGGGTTGGGATCTGAGCCACCCAGCCATCCAGGCCTGGTGTGGAGACAGGCGTGTGATGCCTTTTCTGGGGTCTGTAGGAGGAGCTCAGCTGGCTCTTCGGTTCGTTTGCTGTGCTTGGAGAGCGTCCTTGTGACTGCCGTCCTGCAGGTTCAGGGTAGTTGAGAAGGTGGCTGGCCATCACCCTGCTGTATCTGAGCGGGTGGTTACAGGAGAAAAATATAAGCAGTGTGTCCCCCAGGGTGGAGTCCCAGAGTCCCTAGGGCAGCTGCCCAGCATCCTCCCAGAGAGTGGTGGATGCTCTTAGGGCAGGGGTCGGGGTGCAAGGGCCTTGGGGCCAAGTCCAGGTGCAGGCACTGACCCACCACCGGGCATACAGCCCGCTGGGCTGTCTTGGAAGAGGCATGGCAGGAAACAGGCAGGGCTGGCTGAGGCTGGGACCACCTCACAGGCCTCATCCCAGCCCTAAGTCCCTGCTGGGTCTTGGCTAGGATCTGCTTTCAGAGAACTCTGTGTTAAGTCATCATACGGGACGCTCCACAGCTGGTTTGGGGGTTGTATCTGGTGTTGTCTCTTGGGCCAGTGCCTGGGATGAATCCAGGGCCTTGCGGCCTTATGATCAGTGCATGCCTGCCATTCAGCTGTGCTCCCAGCCTCTGGGCCGTACTTACGCGGGACTCGTGGGTGGACTGTCCCGCCACAAAGTATATGAATGTACACATGGGTAAAGAAAGATGCCAGCCCCCCTCCCGGACTCTGGGAATTGTGGGAGACTTGATCCTCAGAGCCCCTAGGGCCTGGGGGTGTGGCTGGGGTTGTGGGTTGTGGCGTAGCTGCTGGGGGAGGGCACAGAGGCATGAGTTACTGGAAGAGGGGCTCAGGGAGTGGCCAGGCTGGAGGCCCAGCCGTGAACTTGGGGAGCTGGTGGGTGTTAGAGAAACCCAATTCTGGGGCCTGGTGGGATCTGGGGAGCTTCCTGGACACTGCAGAGAGAAGTCAGATGGGAAACGTGTGGGGTGTGTGTGTGTGTGTGTGTGTGTGTGTGTGTCTGTCTGTCTGTCTGTCTGTCTGTGTGAATATTTTGAGACAAAGTCTGTCTGTGTACTCCAGGCTGGCCCTGAATTTTCGTTCTTCTGCTTAAGCCTTCCTGGCGCTGGGATTGTTGGGGTACACTATCACTGAAGTCACCCCACAGGTGCCATTTTTATTGTTGTTTGAGACAGGGTATCAGGTAGCACAGGCTGCCCTTGAACTTGTTATGTAGCTAAGGCTAGCCTTGAACTCTGGATCCTCCTGTGTCAGCCTCTCAAATGCTGGGGTTCCTGGAGTCCTCTACCACCACCCCTGGCTGGATGCTGGTTTTCCGTATAACAGACTCATCTGCTGCTGTGGGTGCCAATGCCGTGCCCAGAGTGTTTTTTGAGTGATGACATTGGGGTCACCCACCACACCACCCAGAGAGGAGCCACTGTCAGGGGTGAGCCTGGCTGTCCCCAGCCCTCCTGACACTTCCTGGACTCAGTGACTTCCAGGACTGGGAGTTTGGTCCTGGAGAGTGGCCCTCCATTAATCAGTTAGGGAATGACCTCAGTTGGGACAGAGTAGGAACCAGAACTAGAGAAAGTCTGTGGCCGTCTGCCCAGCCTACGGGGCCCTTGGAGAGACAGGGTGGATGTATCGCAGGCCCCTTGCCTCTGGGAGAGAGGTGGGCGTCACTGCCAGCTCTTCCCTGTACTTGGGGACTATTGCCAGTGTCCTTTAACCTGCACCTGCCTAAGGGAAGAGCGGCTCAGGGTTGAGGCCGGGTGCCTTCATGCATCAAGGAGCCATCCACCTCAGTGTCCACGAGCCCAGTCGCTGAAAGGGCAGAGTCTGCCGAGGAAGGCAGGTGGTGAGGACCTAGGTTTGATCTTAGTTTGGGGACGGCTCCCAGTCTGTCTAAGCTGGACTTGCAGCCACCTCATGTGTCTGTGGAGTGCCCAGGTTTACTCCAGGGGGTATAGACGAGCCATTCTACTCCCATCTCCTCCTGGCTTTGGGATGAACAACCGGCCTGGGGAGGCCATCACAGCGGTAGAAATGTAGAGAGCAGCCAGAAGTCTGTGTTGACCACAGTGGGTCACGTGGTTCGGCTAGTGTTATGGCCGAGCTGCACCCAGGCATCCTCTGTGCCTTCGTGAGGTCCCAGGTGTCCCCACTTGTCCTTCGCTCTTCCTTCAGGAGCACCTGCCCGATGTTTTCTGGTGCATGCTCTTTTGGGGGTGCATGCTGCACCCCACGGGGTCCTGCACTCTGCTAATGGCTGCAGGGTGGCATCTGCCACCTCCTGGGCAGCAGGGGTGTCCTCCACCTGAGTGAGTACCCACTCAGAGTGTTGCAGGCCCAGGAGATCGGCATCGTGAGGAAACTGAGACCCAGAGGAGTGGTTTGTGTCTTTCCTTCGCTCCTAGAGTCACTGGAGGGCCAGGCCGGGCATCCTCAATTGCTTTCTCTTGTGATAAAACTCTGAGCAAAGTAACCTGGGGGAGGAAAGGGTTTATTTGGCTTACAGTTGCAGATCCCAATCTATCATTGAGGGAAGTCAGGAATCTGAGACAGGAGCCTGCAGGTAGGAACCGTGGAACACTGCTTGCTGGCTCACTCTCGCTCATGCTATTAGCTAGTTTTTTTTTTTTTTTTTTTTTTTTTTTTTTACACAGCCTAGGACCAATTGTCTAGGGATGATGCTGCCCACAATAGACAGGGTGGGACCCCATATCAAGATCATCCTTCACAGACGCGCCCACAGGCCAGTGTGAGCTGGACAGTTTTGATGGAGACCTCCTCCGCTGCCTGTAGGCTGTGTTGAGTTAACAACTAGGGACAGAGCTCCAGGTTTTGGGGATTTCTGTAGTGTGGCAAGGTGGGGAGGGGGCCCAGTACAGCACAGCCACATGATGTTATCTCAACAGAAAGAGCAAGTCACACTTGGTGACTGGAGCTGCTACTTCCTCCTGGTGTCCAGTGGGGTTCTGGCCACCGAAAAGGATGCCCGATGGGTTTGGGACCACGTCCTGTCTCCCAGGCCAAGGGGAAGCTGAGCTTCCACATCACAGGTGGGGTGTGTCCCAGGGCTTCCTGTTCCCATCTCACCTTGGTTCAATTACCAGCTGGGAGAAGGGAGGGCCTCAGCAGCTAGCAGGGTGGGGGCTCCGTGAGGCAGATGGAACACAATGCAGACAGAGCTCTCCTTGTTCTAGAAACTTCTTAGGCTGGGCGGTGGTGGCGTATGCCTTTAATCCCAGCACTCGGGAGGCAGAGGCAGGCAGATCTCCGGGAGTTGGAGGCCAGCCTGAGCTACAGAGCGAGCTCCAGGAAAGGCGCAAAGCTACACAGAGAAACCCTGTCTCAAAAAACCCAAAAAAAAAAAAAAAAAAAAAAAGAAAAGAAAAGAAAAAGAAAGAAACTTCTCTGAACTGATCAGGAGTGATGGACAGCCCGGTGTCCATGTGGACAGTAGACAGTCTGGAAGATCAGGCTTGATTGGTTGACGATGAGGAGGTCACTTCCCCCTGCAGAGCCCTGGGAATCGGTGACTCGGTCACCCCACGAAGTTTCTTTGGGGTCGCTGACTCCAAAAGGCTGCGGATGTGGGGATGCAGGCCTAGGCCTTGTTAGCAGTGAGGGTCAGGTGGAAGGTGTACTTTGAGAGGTGAGGTTCTCAGCCTCGTCTGTCCTAGACAGGATGCCTGTCCCCTCCCCGAAGCCCCACACCAGAGGCTGGAGGAACATGGACACCAAGGAACTGACCTGTGTGATAGTAGAGACCCATGGGGACTAGCAATGACTGATCCTCGCTAGGGAAATAGGCAGGCTGGGCGACTTGTGTTCTGTCAGATTGCCTGTCCCTGTCTGCCCACCCGTCCTTTGTGTGTGTGTGTGTGTGCGTGCGCATGTGTGTCTGTGTCTGTTTCCCCTCCCCCCACATCTCACGGGTGCACACACACACACACACACCTGGGCCCCACCCCTTAGCTGCTTGCGAGTCCCAGTCCCACCTAGGAGGATCCTGGCTCCAGTAGTGAGGCTTTCTGTAGGGTGACAGAAACACACAAGCACTTAAGTGCAGGAAGAAGATGCTGAGAAGTGTCCTGAGTGTCCCCTCCCATGCCTTGATGGCTTCTGTCCTCAGTGTGTCCTCCATGCCTTCTCAAAAAAAGACGGATTGGTAGAAGTAGCACCTTGGGGCTCCAGGAAGTCTCGGGAGGGAAAGTCTTAGGAGTTGGGGCGGTTAAGTGTTGGGCTGCAGGGTCTAGCTGAGGAAATGGCCGTGAAGCAGAAGAAAAGTTTTATGAAACGAAGCCAAAGAGTAGGAAGGTAGGTGAATTCCAGGACCTTCCATGCATCTCGCCCTCGGACTCGGATCAGAGTGTCCCGCCAGCCACCACAGGGCATTGAGGCTTTGCCACCCAGGCGTTGGCCATGTCAGCGAAGTGAGCTGCGGATGGTGGCATCGGTCCACCAACACACAGAGCCTATGGAGGGTCTGGCCGTGTTCCCAACCGACAGCTGTTCTCCCTGTGGACTGAGTTTGTGGGGGTGCAGCAGGCGGGGAGCTCAGGGGCTCCCCCCTCCAGGCAGCATGGGAGGTCCCATCTTCTTTTGTGTGTTTCAAAGTGTCCCAGTGTGACGGTGGCCGCCGCAGCAACATCAAGTCCGGATGTCTTCCCTGCTCTCAAGTACTTGCAGAGGTTTGGCTCCAGCCCCTGGTGTGGCCTTAACTGCCACACTGCACTTGGTGACCCACGGGGAGACCGGCAACTCTATACCCTGCTCCTGAGGCCCAGGCTTGGTAGCTAGGAGACCCACACAGTATGTCATCCAGGAGCTAGCCCATCCCATTAGCCTGTTGCTGGATGCCATGGGACGTGAAGCTACACATGGTGTCCTCACGCATGGCTGTCCCAGCTCGGGGGTGCCCACGATCTGCATACTCGTGATTGCTCGGCCACTGAACAGCCTTGACCCGAGCAGATCATTTGCTGGCCTTTCCTGTGTCTTCTTTATTATTATTTTTTTTAATATAATAGCTTTACGTATTTGTAGAGAATTTCCTACATGTGTAAAATTTTTTTTGGTCATATCCATCTGGTTTTCCCCTCCCTATCCCCCTGGGCTTCTCAATACCTCCCCTTCCCGACTTCATGACTTAAAAAAAAAACCAAACACAAAAACCCACTGAGTCTAATTAGTGCTGCCCATGTGTGTCTGAGTGGCTGGCAGGTAAATAGCTGCTTTTGGCTCCCATGGGTGGTGTTCCTGGCGTGAATACACCGTGGAGGTAAGGGTGGACTTGTGGATGGAGGTGGTTTTGAAATACAGCTCAGGTCGGTTTGGACTGAAGTCGGGATGGGGCACATTAAAAATAGACCATAAAGATGACCCAAGAGAGACTCATTTCAGGGCCTTTCTGGGAAGCTAGCTGAGGCTGAGTGGACAGTGCTCATCAGGAGGGACAGACAGGCTGGCCTCACCAGGGTCTGTGGCCTTGGCACTTCCTGGCCTTTCATTTGTCAGTGTGTGTGTGTGTGTGTGTGTGTGTGTGTGTGTGTGTGTGTGTTTGACCTTCCTACTCCAGCTAGGGCCTAGGGCCCTCCCTGTGTGGCTACTTCTGTGTTACTTCATGCTGGCCACTTCCTCCCTGGTGGATTTGCTCCCTGGTGCCGCCGCCGCCGCCGCCGCCGCCGCCGCCGCCGCCCCCTGTCCATCCTGCCTCATCAGCATGTGAACTGTGGCGGGGGGCCCTTGAAGAATGGATGGACCATTGAAGCAAACTGGCTTTCTGGCTCCAGCTAAGATCTGGATGTGGTGTGCGGCTCCTGGGCTGTTGGCACAGCAGGCATAGCATGGAGGACAGGGCAGCTGATGACAGGCCTTTGTTGATGGGTGACATCTGACATGTAGGAGAAGGAGGCAGGGAGAAAGGGCTCTTACAGAGGAGCCACCTCTGCTGCTGGCCTGGTGGGATGTGTGCGTTATCCACAAGGCCTGGCCTCCTGGGGGTGGGGCTGCATGAGGTTACCCAGGGAAGGGCAGAAAGCCCAATGTGAAAGGGACAGTGTGTTCATCTGTGTGTCCCTCTCTTCTTTGAGTTCATGGGAGGTTGGCCTAGCTTTCTGGACAGTTCCTGCTCCCAGTACCCTGGGAAGGTACAGGGGCTGGACAACTGCAGCCATGTCTGCCCGCCTCCCTTGGCTCCTGGCTGGCTGTTGGTTGGCTGGCCTGCCTGGCCCTGGGGCCCCAGCTTGGACTGTGTGCCCAGCAGAGCCCAGCAGAGTCCAGGCAGCACGCCGCGTGTATCTTAGGCACAGGGATTGGGGTGCTGTGGGTGCCGCCAGGCTCGGCATGGTGGGAGCGGGGGTACAGATGGCAGCATGTGTTCTGAGTGATTCTGGGGCTTCTGAGAAGGCAGGCTTTAGGGGAGGAGGCGCTGGATCTGGATGAGAGGCTGAGTTCGTGAGGAGGGAACAAGGGAGAGGGGAGGCGAAGGCTGGACTCTGGTGCCCGGGCCTTGTTGTGAACCATGGGACATTGTGGAGGCGACTGAGGTTGGGGACAAATGGGCCTGGGTCCGGGTCTGAGGGAGGGGATGGTCCCCAGATTCAGCAGGGGACCCATCCGTGTCACGCTGCTCTGGGAAGATGGGGGTTTACTCTCAGATCTTTAGCCCCGTGGGCCACTGTCCCCTAATGGGTTCCTCTCTGCATTGCGTGACTCGTGTGTGGGCTCAGGTCTGGCCTTGGCCTTGGCCGTCTCCTGGTGTCTTAGGGAGCAGGCTGCACACAGAGCCGGCTGCTGCAGGCAGAGGTGGTTTCTGTCTCTGTGTGAACCCAGCTTCCACCCCTCCTCCCCCCATGAGGTGCAGTGAGATATCTGAGATGCTGGTCTCCTTTGTGTCTCTGAGTGAGTGACCACCTCACGTGGTCCCTGGTCTCTCTTCTCGCCGCAGCTCATTTTGCAAAGGGACAACCAGAGTCACACCATGGTGCTGTTGGTCCTGGGTCCTCCCCACGTTGGATATTGCATGTTCATCCTCCTTTGCCACTGTGTCCCACAGTGTAAATATCAGTGTGTTTTCAGGACTTGTGTGTTTCATGAATGGCAAATCCAGGAATGATCTGGTATATGCCTATTGGCTTGTTTCCCTCCATGTGTTCCCGGAGCATGGGTGGCATGGGTGCTTAGTTTAGTGGACAGTGGGCGGATGAAGGAATCAGTTGGCAGCTCAGGTCATACCTGTCCCCTCTGAGCTTAGTCACTCATGAATCCAACGGAGAGGTCAGCCCCTGGAAGCCTCAGTTGAGAGTGGTCCCCACCATGGTCTGTGAGTGGCAGCTACATCCTGCTTGCTTTCCCAGCTGTCCCGCCCCAATGAACGCCGAGGAAAGCTGCAGGCTGGGCACTAGCAGCTGTGGTAGGCTGAGGCCTCACGCTCAGTCCGGGCCTCTCTTGGTCTCTGTCCAGGGCTCCTCTTGCTCGCTGAGCCCTGTGTCCGCTTCTCAAGCAGCAGGAGTTGTGTTGGCTGTGAGGGTGGCCCAGTGGCCCCTCTGAGCACCCTTCCCTTCCTCTCCACCCAGGTACAAGCCTGCTGCAGGAGGTGGTCTACCTGGTGAGCCAGGGCGCCGACCCTGATGAGATTGGCCTGATGAACATTGATGAGCAGTTGCCAGTTCTGGAGTACCCACAGCCGGGTCTGGACATCATCAAGGTACCTGTGTGACCCCTTCCTCCACAGTTACACCTGCCCAGTGACAGTGGCTTCTCAAGAAGGCTCCTGGGTGCTCATGGGAACAACTGAGGGCCTCCAGGAAGTTCTAGCTAGCCAGGAAGAGAAATTGACAGGTCTGAGTGAGTCCTTAATTCAGCCTGAGTCCTTAAGGACCTTGGGACCTGTCAAGTACAGATGACTGATGTCAGTTTCAGGGAGTCTACGAGGCAGGGAGGAAATGTTTGGTCACGGACTGAGGGACTACCAGTGGGAAAGAAGGCCTCAGCCCCCTCCCTCATCTGTCACGGGAGCTGGGATGAACATGTTTGAATAAAATCCTTGGAATCAAAAATGAAATTATCTGGGTGTGGTGGCTTCTACCTATTGCCCCAGAACTGGGGTGGCTGAGACAGGAGGATTACAGGAGTTTGAAGCCAGTCTGGGCTGTATGATGAGATCCTGTCTGCATCTGGACCTTTCTTTCCATCCCATCCCTGGCTGCCTCTGTAGTTCAGGCCTTGCAGAGTGCCCTCCTCTCCTATTTGCTTTTCCGCTCGATGAGCACTCGGGGACTATATCTCTGAGAGGCTCGGCCACATGTCACGGCAGCAGACCCCTCCTGCTCTTGGGGAGCTTGTTCCTGACTGGACCTGGCACCCGGAGGTCACCCTCCGGTCTGCAGTTCGTGCCGGGTCACGTGGGCTCCTCCACAGGAAGGGCTGGGAGTGCCCAGTGTCTCTGCTCCACACACCCCACATGCTGGTGCTGCCCCTGGTACAGTAGTGAGCTGACACTTCCCACCTCAGGGCGGGAAGTCGTGATGGTTACAGAGCTGGGGACAGAGGATCAGGAGGCAGCAGCCGTCCGAGGAATTTCCAGAAGGAAGAGAGGAGCGGAGGGCTGGATGGACACCAAGCCTCGTGGTCCAAGGGGAAGCGGACAGGAGGAGAGCCTCTGAGCAGAGGACAAGAGGGAAAGCTGCTGTCCATGGTCCCCTGGGCTGCTGTGGGATCAGAACGGAGGGTAGCTGGAAGCTTTAAAATTAGACACCCCCATGTTCTCACAGGCACTATTTTATGCCCATGTTTTGGGTTTCTGCTGTCCCACAGACCCTTCCTCATTCTTAGCCACTCAAACCAAATCCCTGTCTGTAAGGGATCGACCCCTCATTACAACTCCTGGGATCCAGCCATCTGTGAGTCATGTCCAGACGGCTCAAATGGGTAGTTGGTTAGAGCAGGTACTAAGTCCTGCTTGGTCAGGATCCTTCCAGAGTGGTTAGAAAGGCCCTGGGAGGGAAGGAGTGTGTGTGTGTGCACATGTCTGTGTGTGTGTGTGTGTGTGTGTGTGTGTGTGTGTGTGTGTGTGCGCGCGCGCGCGTGCGTCCACACACACATGCGAATATCACAGTCGTGTGTCTCTCTCTGCAGGAACTGACGTCTCCTAGGCTCATCAAGAGCCACCTCCCCTACCGCTTCCTGCCCTCTGACCTCCACAATGGGGACTCCAAGGTAACTTATCCCCATCTCCCATCCCCCGCTTCCTCATTAAGAATCCTAGGCTTCTGACACCACTGCAGGTACCTCTCCCCCTGGCCCAGGGACCACCTTGGATCGTGACTGTAGTCCTTCCTCCGTGCTTACCTCTCCCATTGGAGGACGGTGCTTCCTGTTCTTGTCTCTGTCCCCAGTCCTGAAGTTCCCAGGCCACCAGCCCTCACCAGGGCGCCTGTTTCCTACTGATTACAGTTGTGCCCTGATAAAGCAGTACAGTAAGACAATCACATGCTTATCCCGCATACTCAGCCCATGGGCCAGAGCAGCACATCCGTGCTGGGAACGAGCAAGGGGACCCCTGGCTAGGGAGGGAGTGACCCCATCGTTGTACCCGCAGGTCATCTACATGGCTCGCAACCCCAAGGACCTGGTTGTGTCTTATTATCAGTTCCACCGCTCACTGCGGACCATGAGCTACCGAGGCACCTTCCAGGAGTTCTGTCGGCGGTTCATGAACGACAAATGTAAGTGCCCGTGGGTGTGAGCTCTAACCTCGCACATACCGGCCGGTGCCGGGGCGTTCCTGGAAGGCGCGGCGTGTGATGGCACCTCACTTGCACCCGTGCAGATGGGGCTTACGTTATTACCACGTGGCGGAGGTGGCGAGGCTGGGGAGCCGTGGATCTTAGCGGTGGTGCGCAGCAGTGCAGATTCTGAGACTTCCGAGTCCTGCCCGCCACCCCCCCTCCCCCCACCACCACCATGAGGGTTCTCCAGATAACTCCTCACCTGTCCTTCCTGCCTGGGTTCTTAATGAGGTGAGAATGAAAGCTGTGAACTCAGAGGCCCAGATCTCGATGCTGTGAATGGTAGATACCAATGTGAAGGCTGCTACTGGGTGTGAATCATCACGTGGGCTGGAGGACTTCAGAGGCCTGGCAAGGGACAGGGAACAGCACTTGGGGAGCAGGGTGTGCTGGGCTGAATGCTATGTATACTTCCTGTTGGCTCCTTCCCGACCCGGGAGGAGGAGCAGGGCCTGGCCACTCGACCCCACTGGTCTTCTAGGAAGTCAGGGACCACAGTAGGAAGCAGCTCCATCTCCCATCTCTGTCTTTCTTCACCCCACAGGCCACCTGTCCCCTTGGAGCCATTGTCCCACTTCCCCCGAGTCACCCCCACATCTCTGTGGGTCTTGTGGCTGGCGAGGGACTGTGTGGTGTGCACCCAGTCATAGGAAATGGCTTATATCACGCTTCCATTAGTCTGCACTGAGACTGTCCTAGCCCTGGGTCTCAAAACTCACTGACTGCTCTGTGTGGCTCATCCAGGGATCCTGCAGGGAGGCTGTGAGGCATGGTGGGAATAGAGGGTGTACCGGTGAAACCTCAAGCGCAGCAGGCCTCGGGGCAGCCTCCATGAGCTTCCTGCTCAGGCAGTGGTGCACACAAGGCCCCAGAGAATGGGCTGGGCTGCAGCAGGCACACTGGGCTGCCTGCAGTCGGAAACCCACAGGGGCCAGAGGCCCTCAGCGATCCGTTTCCTTCTGTTAAACATGGTTTCAGCTGTGCCCTGTGCCCAGGGCTGGGTCACATGTGTGGTGGGGGAATGGCATCACCTGTTCCCCAGGGTCCCTGAGCCTGCCGCAGGTCCCACCCAGCTTCTTTCCCTGTGTACTATTGGGGTGTCCCTTGCAGTCTTCCAGGTGTGCCCCCTTCTGCTCACGGTATCGTACCTTCTTGTCATGGCACCCATTCTTGCTCCCACAGGTATGTGGGAACAGCACCGTAGTGACAGCAGGGATCTGTCACATTCAGCCTGGTGTACTCTCAGCCAGAGCTGTGAAAATCTGCCCTGACCTGGGCTTCCCTGTTCACAGTGCAAAGCCTCAGAGGTCAAGGCCATGCGCTCTGGCCTGCATCCTTCTCAAAGCGTGTGGCTTGGGTGCTCAAGTACCTTCCTCTACTCTTAGCCACTCAGTGACCACAACATGGTCCCTTTCCTCCCTGCCCAAGGCTCAAAAGAAAGTGGCAGCTAAGAGAAGGATCATTTTTTTTTTTAATTATTTCATAGCCTGGATGGTGGCATGGGGCTGTCATCCCAGCTACTTGGGGACTAAGGCAGGAAGCATGCAGGCTCAGGGCCTGCCTGGGCTACAGAGTGAATTCAAGGGTAGCCTGGTCAACTTAATGAGACCTTGTCTCAAAATGAAAGGTAGGAAGAAGGCTGGAGATGCAGGCATACTTGCCTAGCATGTCGGACCCTGGGTTTGGTGTCCCCAGTCCTGGACAGAGCAGAGGTAGCATGTCAGGCCCTGGGTTTGGTGTCCCCAGTCTGGACAGAGCAGAGGTAGCATGTCAGGTCCTGGGTTTGGTGTCCCCAGTCCTGGACAGAGCAGAGGACGGAGCAGGGTCGCAGGCACTGTGGGAAAGATCTGCATGAGAATGGTGGTGGCCTGAGACTCCAGGGCTGAGGTTAAGTGATGCCCAGGTCAAGTGACATGCTATGTGGAACCTCTGGACAGGGTCCCTGATGGAGTATTGTGGCGCTCTATGGACAGTCTCCCCATGACACAAGTACATGGGGGAATCTGTGGACAGGGTCACCTGACAGATGCTGTGTTGGCAATGGTCTGTGGACAGACACTGCCCTGTGCAGTGTGAGGAGTACTCCAAAGGCGCCATATTACTGGGTGGGGGCTGTGCTGTGCTATACTCTCCTGCCAGCCCTGGGTAAGTGGCTGTATGGTCTCAGCAGAGTGAGGTGCAGAGAGAAGCAGGGGGTCATGGCAGGGCCCTTTCTCTGGAGGCTTGGCTCCCACCCGCACACGCGCATCTCTTTCCTCTGTGGCCCCAGGTACAGAGGCAATGAGGTGCTCTTGTTATCCCTGTTAGCAGTCAGCATGCCTTCCTTTGTTCATGGTCCTGGCTGGCCTTTCTTGTGCAGCGTCTTTGTGACCCAATGGGGTCCAGGCCATCTAGGAGTCCTGTGCCTTCTCCGGCAGTGGGGAAGAATTCTCCCCTTGCTTTTCTAGGCTATTTGCCTTCCTCCTACCCCAGGACTTCATCTGCCTGAACTCAGCTTCAGCTGAGCACATGGATCCAGAGATCAGGGTCCAGGCCCCGTTGTAACCTGACACTCGGTTCTGTGTAAAGTGAACACGTTTTCTAAGGGGCGTTTACAGAGGTCATCCAGGGGTGTCTCAGGAGGGTGTGCCTGTGCAGGTCCACTGTGCCCCAGTACAGCACGACTCCTTACCCGTGGAGCTTGCAGGTAGCCTGGAAGGTGGAGCCCCATTCCTGCCCCTGCATCTCATCTGGTTGGTCCCTTCCTGTTGCTCAGCGGAGTTAGAGTACCACCTCTGTATAGCATCTCCCTGAGTCCTGCTCTGGGACCCCCGTGGTACAAAGGCCCTCCCAGGACTGCACAGCTCGGCCAGAGAGTGGGAGCACATTGGAACTCGTCACTAGGAGTGCCATGCTATCGTTTGCAGACGGGGCTGAGCTCTCTCACCCTGGCCAAGGGCCCAGCCGAGACCTGGGGTTCTGACCAGGCAGGGCCATGCTGAGTGAGGCACATGTTGCCTGTGTGACAGCGCAGGGCTCCCATCTGTCTTTTTAGATGGCAAGTTTCACTGAGAATGCCTGGAGTCGACCAGGAGTCACGGGGCAGGACCTTGTTCTGGAGCTGTCTTAGAGCTTCCCACACTCCAACCTGCCCCTGCTTGTCTCTTTGCCCTGACTTCTCTGACCATTGGCACTAGCGTACACACCATGTCCTCATAGCCTCAAAGCCCTTGTCAGGTCCTCAGGGCATCCATACGTGTGCTGGGTAGGGGCGAAGGAGCGTCAGCGGGAGCAGGAGGGGTGAGGGCCTTCAATGGTTTCTTCCTTCTAGGAGACCCTGCAGTTTCCTTCACAGCAACTGGGCAGGAGCAGGGCATCCTGTGGGGGCAAGATCGCCTGCACAGTTCCCTCCCCATCTGTATGTACCCCTTTTTCCCTGTTTCCGCAGTGGGCTACGGCTCCTGGTTTGAGCACGTTCAGGAGTTCTGGGAACATCGCATGGATGCAAATGTGCTTTTCCTCAAGTATGAAGACATGCACCGGGTGAGTAGCTGGAGAGATGCGGTCCATCAAGGGAGACGCTGTCCCTGGTTTTGGAGCTGTCCGTGGTGCTGGGACTCTGTGCTGCTAGAACCAAGTGGAGGCATGGCCGGGTTATGCAGAGCCAGAAGGCCACAGAGGGTGGCATGGGCGGGGGGGGGGGGGGGGATCTGCACAATTCCTTCCACGTCTTACCCTTATCATGCCCAGAGATGCATGTGGGCCACAGAGAAGGCTTGGGCTCTAGTCCCTAGTCCAGCACATGGCCTCTATCTGGACAGGCTGATCCCCAGGACAAGTTCCAGACTGGCTCACTGTGGTGTGATGTTGGGGAAAGCCAAGAAACAGGACCTTAGCAACAGGAGCAGGGACCTCTGCCACTCGGTTGTGCTGTCTCAGTACCATCACCTTGGTGACCGTGTGAGGCAGTGTGCGGGCAAAGCTGAGTCCCTCTGCATCAGCTTTTAGGATGCGTGTGACCTTGCATATTAGCCTGGGGTACTCCAGGAAGGAGGTTAGCATTGGCTGGTGTGGACTCGAAGCCTTGTTCTGCATCAGCTTTTAGGATGCATGTGACCTTGCATAGTGTAGCCTGGGGTACTCCAGGAAGGAGGTTAGCATTGGCTGGTGTGGATTCGAAGCCTTGTTCTGTACAGACTCTGATGAGTGTGGTTGTAGAGGTGGGGAACGCTCAATATATGTGTGTATCAAGTGTCCTGGTAGCTGTATGTCTCCCAGGATCTGCATTGCCATCCATGCATGGGTGTAGTGATGTTTCTCTCGCTGTCTCTGTCTCTGTCTCTGCTCTCTCTGGCTTTGGAGACAGTTTCTCTGGGTAGCCCTGGCTGTCCTGGAACTCACTCTGTAGTCCAGGCTGTCCTTGAACTCAGAGATCCACCTGGCTCTGCCTCCCGAGTGCTGGGATTAAAGGCGTGTGGTTTCTTTCTTAAAACTGGCCTTGACCGCTCTCCCTCCCCGTGTGTCACTGTTATCTTCACCTCCCTGCCAGCCCCTTCCCCTCTTGCCCCACCGTCCCCACGCTGTGCTGTCATGGTCCCCAGTGATCCCCTCCTTTGCTACAGTAAGCGAGGGTCGTTGGGTTCCCGTCACCTAGCCTTCTAATGACATGACCCCTCCCTTCCTTCTCTGACTGCCAAGTTGCCACCCTCATCTCCCATCACCCCCTTTTCTCAGATTTAGTGTGTGTGTGTGTGTGTGTGTGTGTGTGTGTGTGTGTGTGTCTTAGCCTGAATGTATGTGTGTGCACCATGTGCACGCCGGTGCCCAAAGTGGTCAGAAGAAGGTATTGGGTCCCCTGGAGCTGGAGTTAGGAGTGGTTGTGAGGCACCATGTGTGTGCTGGGAACCAAACTTGGGTCCTTTGCAAGAGAACCAAGTGCTTTTAACGGCTGAGCCGTCTGTCCAGCTGTGTGCCCTTTTCCTAGCTGCAGATGACCACACACCACAGGCCTCGGTCCTGGCCCTGTCGGCCATCTTTTCTTCTCTTCGCTCCCCTGCAGTCTCATTGATGCCAGGTTAGGAGCACTGGGGCCACCATGCACAGAGCTGTCTGTGGAGGCACCAAGACACATGTCCATGTGGTCGTCCAAGGGAGACTGAAGACTCGGGGCACCCAAGCCAGCCTCTGACCCTGACCCTGAGGGCCTCAGCAGTCCCTGTCTTAGTTCATGACGGGCCGCTCTGCCTTGCTCAGGTGGAATTCATTCTCTCTCCTCTCCC